CTACTCAATAATCTGTGGTGACCTAAATGGGAAGGAAATCTTTAAAAGAGTGGATATATGTATGCGTATGACTGATTCACTTTGCTGTACAGCAGAAACTAACACAATATTGTAAAGCAACTATACTCCAATAAAAATTAATTAAAAAAATAAAAAATAAAAAAATAAAAGAAATAATACTTGAACTCTCAAAAAAATGTAATAAAATTTATGTGGAAAGACAGCGAAACCAAAATAGCCAAAACAATTCTGAAAAAGGACAACAAAAAACAGGGGCCAATTCACACTGTCTGATTTCAGGACTTATTATAAAGATATATATATATATATATATATATATGTATATTTTATTATTTAATTAAATTTTTTTTTTTTGCAGTATGCGGGCCTCTCACTGTTGTGGCCTCTCCCGTTGCGGAGCACAGGCTCCGGACACGCAGGCTCAGCGGCCATGGCTCACGGGCCCAGCCACTCCACGGCATGTGGGATCTTCCCGGACCGGGGCACGAACCCATGTCCCCTGCATCGGCAGGCGGACTCTTAACCACTGCGCCACCAGGGAAGCCCATAAAGCTATATTAATTAAGACAGTGAAAGGTTGTGAAAGGTCAGACACACAATCTAGGCACCAGGACAGAGAGTCCAGAAACAGACACAAAAATGTGGCCAACTGATTTTTTATGAAGGTGTAAAGTCAATTCAGCGGAGAAAGGATCAACTTTCAAATAAATGGTTCTGAAAGAACTGGAATTCATATGCAAAAAAAATAAATCTTGACCTATGCCTCTCACCTTACACCAAGTTAAATAAAAATGGATCACAGACTTCAGTGTAAAACTTAAAACTGAATGTAAGAGTATAAAACACTGGACTCAAACATAAAAGTCTTTGTAACCTTAGGGTAGGTAAAGAGTTGTTGCATGTGACATCAAAATCATGACTTATCAAAAAAAATGGATAGATTGGACTTTGTCAAAGTTAAATACTTTCACTCTCTGCAAGGCCTTGTCAAGAGAATTGAAAAGACAAGCCAGGTTGTGAGCAATTACTACAGACCCTACATACAACAGAACCTACATACAACAGAACGTACATACAGTGAGGACACTTGTCCAGAACATTTATATGAGCTCTAAACTCGACAATAAGAAAGCAAACGACCTGATTTCTTTTTCTTTCTTTCTTTTTTTTTTTTTTAGTGGACAAAGACCTGAACAGACAGTTTACAAGGAGGATCTATGGATGGCAAATAGACACATGAAAAGATGCTCAGAATCATTAGTCATGAGGGAAACGCAAACTAAAACCATAGTGAGAGTCCAGCTATTAAAACTGCCTTGTAATACTGTGCAAACCAGGGACTTGCAGCAGCTGGAACTCCCGTTCCCTGCTGGCGGGGACGCACCAGCACAGCTACCTTGGAAAGCAGAGTGGCCATTTCTTACAAAGTTAGGCACACACATATGTAGGTATCATCCAAACAAAAGGAAAACCTATGTTCAGAGAAAAACCTGTGTGTGAATGTTTATCACAGCTTTACTCATAGCCAGCATACCCTGGAAACAACCCCGATGGCCTCAGCAGTTGGGTGGGCAAGCGCTCTGAGACGCCCACAACATGGGTGACGGACACTCAGGTGGAGGACGTGACTGCAAATGGACAGCAGGAGGGAAGCCTGGGGGTGGAGGAATTGCCGTGTTGCTCACCCTATACTCCCCAAAAGAACTCAATCAGGAAATGTCCCGTGCAGCACAGGACACCCGAACTCCAGCCAGGGTCAAGTGATCAGAGTGTCTTCTGGCCAGACAGGCCTGAACTCATGGCTACTGCGGGCACGTTGTCCCGTCCCCACTGAACTAGACGGCCCTGCAGCCCAGCTTGGATGGAGGATGAAGCCCGGGCGTGGCACTGACCACACACCCAAGGTCGGTGCTTCCAGAACCACGTCTGCCCTCATCCCCCACTCCCACGCCTCCTCCACCCCTCCCAGTGCCTGTACCAAGGTGCTTACTGGCGGCAGCTCTGCTGGGTCTTGGCTTCCCCGGGGGAGCCTCCAAACATGGACCAAGAGACTGGGCGTCCAGTCCCACCCCAACGGGGACCCTGGACAAGCCCCTAACGGCTCTAATTCCTGGTTGTTTCATGTTAAAATCACAGATGTTAGACCACAGTCACTCTTAATGTCTGTGTCAGCTCTAAATCTTATAGGAATTGATGACAGTTTATCTTCAAGAGACTGAAGATTGGAAATAAAACCTAGGATTTTCTTGTTATTATTGCTTGGTTTGCTTATTTTGCTCTGTTTGGGAATATTTTTAACTTGAAAATTAGTCTCTAATCCCAAAGTTTGAGAATCATTGCTCTGGCAGTGCTGTGAAGGGCCCTCGTCATATAACCAACCCTGATTCCAATCAAAGGGAGCGTCCAGAAACATCCTGTGGCTACAGAGAACGTTGGATATGAAGGCGGCCACGTCAGGAACTGCTGGACCTCATTCTCCAAAATGGAGCAGGCGGGTGGGCACCCTTCTGGCCTGGCCAGCGAGCCCAGTGGGCAGGGCGTGCACCAGGGCAGGCTGTGGTGCCCAGAGCAGATGGGCAGCAGACCCAGACCCTCAGCCACAGGACCTCTTCTTGAGAAAGTCCACCCGGCGGGTAGCTCCCCAGACGTCCCCAGGCCAGACACAGGACGCACCACCTCCCCTGGCCCTACCCCCCAGGAGCTTGTGGGGACCTGGGAGTCAGGCCTGCTCATCACATCTTGGGCTGCAGCCTCAGCCAGGACGCAGGGCGGCCGTCCACGTCCGGAGGCCCCAGGGAAGACTTAGTAGTCCAGGCTTCGAGGCACACGCACGAGCAGAAAGGCCCGAGGTGCCCCCGGCCCGCCCCACGCCCCCCGACCCCGAAGGCAGGAGAGCCTTGCAGTGCCACAGCTCTGCACCCACTGGAGAAGCAGGAAGAGTGTGGCCCTGGGCACAGAGGTGAGGACAGTGCCCTGGGCACTAACTGGGAGACCGGGCTGTGCGCATTGGCTTCTGTATTTATAGCTCAGAACAAAAGTTTAAAAAAGATTTTATGGCTAAGATGTCATTTTAATTTTGAACATGAATACGAAAAAGAGCAATGCCAGCTATCTTTTGCCAAGAATAGAATTCAAACTGGCAGGACATTTTTCAGCTCCATGATTACTAGCACTGACAGAAAAAAAAACAGTTGCAAAGGAAAAAGAACAATATTTAAGATTTGCTTCCTAAAAACCTGATGAATAATGAATATGGGAACACTTCCTCTACTGAAAGCACGACATCTCCAAAAGCACGCTGCTCTCAGGCCCACACTCTGCTCCCGACGGGCTCCAGGGGTGGGAGGCCCTGGGCTCCTCACACAGGAGACTCAGACGTGAACCCCGTTGCCTGCAAGAACTTCAGTCCTCGCCTGTTCTTATCTCTTTAGAAAGCAAAAGGTCCCTAAGCTCATAGATCCTCAAAGCACATCCACACCCCTCAGCAGGGGCCGAGAGCTTGGGGGGCCGTGGGGCGGGGCCGGAGGGGGCGCCATGGTCGGGCACATGGGAGAGCAGAGGGCTGGACGCAGTGCCCGCACGATGAGAAGGTGCAGCGTGAGGAGGGGCACCAGGGCAAGGGGTGTCCGAGGAGACATGGGCAGAACTGGAGGAACCGGTTGGCCACTGCTGACCACAGCCGGAGCTCGGCCACCAGTCCCGCCACCTGTCAGTCCATCCTCCCTTCCTGGTCGGCGTTTGATGCTTCTAGTAAAAGGCTGGAATAGCGTGCAGAGAGGCTGCCCGCCTCCGAGAGGCTGGGCTGAGGTGGGACAGAAAGGGCGTCTCGTGGGCTCCCTTCCTCGCTGCGGGCGCTGCTGGGCGGGAGGCGCTGTCGGGGCCACGGGGGAAGTGGGGTGCTGCGGCCGCTGCTGTGCTCAGCCGTGTCTCCGTGGGCGGAGCGCAATGTGTTCCCTGTGAGAGGCGCTGGCCCCGGGGGGCCGGGACATGAACGGGAGCTGACCGCTGTGATCAGTCCCGTCGTGCTGGCGAGGGCGCTGAGCCCAGAGCGACAGGTGCGGGAGGGGCTCGGCCGACGGAGCAGCCTGGGCTACAGAGCAGCGCCTGGAGGAAGCCGATGGGCTCCTGCCCGGCGGAACTTCTCCCAGTGTAAGCGGCACCCATCCTGAGCCACGTCTGCCCCTCATCGGGTCAACCTAACAGATGCACCGAATGTCGGGGTGCGGAGGGCATCGAGGACGCGCTGGCTTCCCCTGGGGGCAGAGCTGCCCACCCAGTGGGGCTCTAGGGCCCGAGGTGGACAGGCAGGGAGACACGTGGGCACGGCCAGCGAAGCACGGCTCCAGGGTCACCTCGGCGGCCGGTTGAGGGGCAGCCTGCCACGGGCTCCTCTCCCTCAGCACCCACACTGTCCTGTGGAGGGACGGCCTGCATCCCCCCAGCCCCTTGGAGGAGGGGCAGACCAGGGCCCGAGTCTCTCTAGCGGAGGCCGCGGCACCCTTGCTCTGTGATTTGATCCAACCCAGGAAGCTCCACCTCCTCTTTTCTTGTTTAAGAAACTGACCCACGAGCAACAGGGTCAGGAAAAGCAGTTCAGAACCAGCCGGCCGGGTCTGTCTCAGGTGAGAAGCCCAGCCCGGGCGTGACGCCCAGCGTGTAGCACCAACAACAGGGCAGCTGGCTCGCCCGCTAGACCTGGGACGCACAATGCAGTCTTCCGTCCTCACTTTGAGGGGTAAAAAGCCCGCTCAATTTTTCATTAGGTTCTCCCGTTGACAAGTAAAACCAGAAAATGCAGAACAGAAAACGGTTTTCAGATTTGAAGCTCATGGGCCTCAGGTCACTGCCTGTGCTGCCCCCAGGGGTTCCTGGAGCCACACCCTGCAACCCTTCCTGAGGCTTAACTTCCCAGTGGCTGTAAGCGGTCACAACCGAGGCCCACGGGGACACGGCCGCACGTGACACGAGCGAGGGCTCACCTCCAGTAGCAGCCTTCCCTCCAGCACAGCAGACCCTCCACGCGGATCCCTGTCTTCTGGTGAGGGGGCACCGGCCGCCGGCTGCTGCAGGGCTGTTGGAGGAGAGCACAGTTAGTGATGGTTCCCTGACGTTTCTCCAACTTCCACCCACCCTCCACAGGCACGCTGACCTGTGGTCTCCTCGCTGCCCAGAAGACACCCAGGGCGGCGGGCGGGGCAGCTGGGTGGGAGCCGGGTGACATTCGGGGGACCGGGACTTCACAGCTAGGCCGCGTCTGAGGACCCTGCCCCACTCTGCTCCCCAGAAACTGCACTCCCCCCTCCTGCAAACCCCTTAACCCCCCTCCCCATCTCAGGGACCCCCCCGGGGGTCCCCAAAGCTCCTCTCTCAAGACCCAAGCGCGGGCAGGTCCCCAAACTGGACACCACTGGTCTGGGTAACCAATCACCGGCCAGGACCCCCACGTGCCCCTCCCCCATCCCTCCCTCCTGGAGCCCCCGCCCCTCACCCAAAGCGGAGCAGACAATGCTCCTGGCAGGCGGGCGCCCCCTGCACGCTCACGCTGCTTCTCCCAACACCCCCTCTGGCCTCACATCCACTTGGGGTGAAAAGCTCAGACAGATGTGCAGGTCAGACAGACGTCATCCACATCCCAGCCCCTGGCGCTTGGTGGGGGACCCCCAACTCCGTGCTCAGCATCATCAGCACCTGGGAATTATGGGGGCCGCTGGGGGCTGCTGAGCGCACAGGCATTAAAGGGGGTCCCGGCCAGGAGCGGGCCTGGCGCTGGTGCCTCTGTGGAGGCCGGGAGGGCTGTGCCTACCATTTCCCTCATTCAGGGGAAATGTCAATGCCACCAAGGGCCCTGCAGGCGGTCCCTGTCTCGTCTGGTTTTGGAGTAAAATACAACCACAGCATGGGACTCCCCAGCATTTCTCCTTCAAAACCAGCAGGCTGTGCCGAACTTTCCCTCCAGGGCGCACCCGCTCCCCCAGGCGCTGGTCAAAAATGCAGGGTCCCAGGCCCCAGGACAGCAGGCCCCCGACGTGCTCTCCAGGTTGGGCCAGGACCACTGTGGACCGAGACCCCTCACACACACACAGGCAGTGGCCAAGGTGGCCCTTCATTTACACCCCTGACGCCAAGCTCAGGGCATCCACAGGGGCAAAGTGCGCGATGCAGAGGCCCTCAGGGAGGCCCCTGGACGGTGGCCCTTGGTGGCCCAGCCATGGCCTTCAGTCTCCGCCGGCCTCTCGGTCCCTCCCTCTCTCAGAAGCTTCGCTTCATCGCCTTCCTCTCCTGCACTAGATAGAACAAGAAACGAACCCATTTCCTCGAGGGAAAGCAGGTGTGTTCTGGGAAACACGACAGGCACACCTGGGTGCCTGGGCGGAGACGCAGACGCCACCGTGTGTGCCTTAGACGCCCAGGCCTCCCTTCCCAACCGAAACCCGCCAGCAGCCAAGCTCCCCTCGAGGCTGCTGGTTCTCTAGGCAGTGAGACAGCTCTGAGCAGAGAAGCCAGAGGCGTTAACTAACGTTTAGTCCATCTTGAGCTCCACTCTGCTCAAGAAGCTGAGAGGTGAATGCGTGAAACTCATAGAGCTCGGATTAGTCAGACCCAGGAGGAGCCCACCGAGAGGCGCCATGTCCGCGCGGGAACCTTCTGGCGTCAGAATGCTCCGAGCCTCTGACAGAGGGTCACACAGACCCCGTGCTCTGCTCTCAGGGGCTGAGAAAGCTAAAGGAGGGAAACGCCGACCGGCGGGGGCCCGGGACCCACTCCCGCCCCACCCCTCCCCGCAGCCCCCTGCCAGCACAAGGCCACGTCTCCCAGCTGGGTGGGCAGAGCCCAAGCGGGCCTGGTTGGACGTGGGGTCACAGCGGCGGGGCTGGGGGGCAGGACCCCGCCTCGGTGCGCCCAGGGGGACCGCCACAGCCCGGACCGCCAAGGCCTGCCTGCCACACACAGGCCGCTGCAGGGGCCGCCCCGGCTCCAGCCAGCTCCCCACCCCCGTGCGCGCTGGTCTGAGGGGAAGGGGACGCTGGGACGGGGCTTCCCTGCTCGCCGGGCCTGCGGACGCCGAGCCGGCTGTGCTGCCGCCCACGGCCGGAGGCTGGGGAGCCCCAGGCGGTGACGTCACCGCGGCAGACGCGGTTCGCCGACCCCCGCCGGGACCCAGCCCCACTCGGCGGCGCGCAGACAGATGCGCTCCGTCGCCCACAGACGTGCAGGGGCCGCTGCCCGCACAGGGGCAGCCGCGGCGGGGGTCCCCGCCTAACCTCCCTCCCCTCCCCCCACGCGGCTCCCCGGCCTCGCGTGCGCCCCCGCCGGGCACCCGCACTTCCCTCCTCCGCAGCCACATTCCGCGGGGCACGCCCGGCGGGGCCTCCTCGGGCTCCTGTCACGCGATGGGGCGTCAGCGCCGCGGTGACAGCCGCCTGGACCCCGGCCAGGGCCTCGCGTGCGAGCAGGGCCGCCAGCGCGCCCCACCCCCAGGCCTGTGGTGAGACTAGAAGAAACCGAATGTGATTCCGAGGCTGTCCCGGAGGCCCAGCCGGGGTGGGGGGCGCCTTCCCGAAAACTCATCTGAGCCGACAGCCCCGGCCCCCAGGTCAGGAGCGCCCGGAAGCTGAGTCAGGGCAGCAAACTCCAGTGCGGGCGGGGGCCACGGCCAGGCCCGCAGGCGGCGGGTGCCAGCCCTCTTCCGCGTGGGGGGCAGTCCGGAGGGGGGAGCCCGCGGCGCTGGGAGAGAGCAGCTGGGGAAGAGCCCCGGGGCGGGGCGGCAGCTCCGCCGTCACCTGGCTCTGGTATTCGGCCCAGCGTCTCTCTCCAGGGTGCCGCTTCTCCTCTCCCTGCCACCACACGTCTCACCCGCGGGTCTGAGCGGGGCCCTGGAGGGGAGGCAGGGCTCTGGGCAGGGGCCTCCGCCGGCGGACCCCACCCAGCCATCGCCGGCGCCCTCTCCGCCCGGTCTCCTTCGGGACGAGGGGCGAGCCCGCCGCCACGCCTCGCCCCGCCTGCTCCTGGTCGCCCCTGGCAACAGGCCGGGGAGAAACGGCGGCAGGGAGCAGGTGTGTGGGGCGAGGGTCCACGGGGAGTTGGTGAACGCGTGCAGAGAAGGAGTCACTGTGGCCCCCTAGGCCCCGCGAGGAGGGACGTTTGGGGACGGGGCGGGGGAGCAGGGCCCCGAGGCCCGGAGCTCGAGGCGTCCCCTGCGGTCCAGCCAGGGGCGGAGAGGCCTGTCACGTCGAAGGGCCTCGTGCCCCTGGTGAGCCGCTGTCCCCAGAAAGGGGGCCAAGCCACGAGACGGGACCCCGGTGGCACCCGCGTCCCTTCAGCCCCACCCTGCGGGCAGCCGGCCCTCCTCCTGCCCAGCCTAGCCTGAGGGGCAGTGGCAGGTGAGGGCGGCCAAGAGCCCTGGTCCCACGGAAGCCGTCCTCCCGCAGGGCAGAGCCCGGGCGCCTCTGGTCTGTAGACAGAGCTCAGGGTCTCGAGGCAGACAGGAGGCCCAGCCAGGGCCGCCCCTTCCGGAGATGAACGGGCTCCCAGGGGCCCGCGCAGCCCAGCCTGGACCCGGTGCTCCGCCTGGAGCCCTGGCTCCCTCCCCCACTCAGGCCCGAGCTCAGCCGCACTTGAGGTTCTCACTGCCTGGTCCAGGCTGTCCACCAACTGGCTGTAGAACCAACCGGAACCAGCCTTCCTCTCACTTCCTCGATTTCTTGCATACCTGAAAAGGCTCATTTGGAACAGAGAGAACGTGAGGAATCGTGCTGGAGACAGTGGGCGTCCCTGTGAATATGCTGCACACACAGCCGTAGGGGGAGGGGGAGAATGGAACGGCCACTGCCCCACCAGACTGGGGCTGACTGCACCCCGCCGGCCCCACCCGGTACCCCGCTTCCTTCCGAGTCCTTCCCACAGAGGAGACTCAGGGCAGTTACCACCCTGGGCCGAGCCCTGGGCCACGGACACCCCGCCCCCACCAGCAGCTTCTCAGGGGTCCCGTGCCTGGGTCTGGCCCCTGAGGGGTGCCAAGTGCTCCCGGTGGAGGAGGAACCAGAAGACGCCCCATCTCTGCCCCTAGATGGTGCGTGATGCCCAGAAGCCACTGTGCTGCCAGCCAGCTCCTCAGGGGACGGGACAGGTGAGCCCAGATCGTGGGGCACGCTGAATTGGGGACGTGTAGGGCAGTCCAGGGATTGGGGTACAGGACTTCTGCCACCCAGGGTGATTGAGAGAGAAGCTGGGGACACCACGGGAAGATGGGCTGAACCCCCGATTCTGACCAGCTGCAGCTCCTGGAGTGGATAGGTCCACGTCCAAGCCCAGCCCCTGCTTTGAATGAACACATGCCTGGTAAAAATCATCTCAGCATCGAGGGAGCACCCTAGGCTCTGCACTGTGCTCTGCACAGCACACATGGCCTTGGCACCTGGGTCGTTTCCCCTCCAGCCCTGGTCCAGCAGCGCGCTGGGCCCCAGGCCCTTGAGTTCAGGGCTGACATCCACGCTTGTCCGCGTGTCCCAATGGCGGCAGCTGGCATGACCACGGCTCTGCCCGGCTCTCCCCAAAGCTGTGCCCAGAGGGCAGGGTGGAGGGAAACAGTGAGCTTGGAGCTCCTGGGACCCCAAGGAGCAGGCATGCCTCCCACTTCTGCCCACTTCCAGCCCAGACCCCCTCAAAGGCCTGCTTAGCAGAGGAGCTCGGGCTCAGAGCAGGGGTCCTGGGAGCCTCAGCGCTGCCGTAAGACGGGCGTGGGCTGTCGTGAGGATCCAGCAGGGACACACACCGGAGGAGCTCTGAGCCGGGCGGGGCAGCGGGTGCCCTGCAAATGCCGTGATGTTCCGCGTCCACATCTTGTTGCCGCCAACTCAGCGCCAACCTCCACAAGGCCTGTGGATGGATGCCTGTGTCCCCAGATTCCTGGCCCCCCAGGGTGATGGTGTTCGGAGGGGCCTTTGGGTCACAAGGGTGGAGCCCCACGAATGGGATTAGTGTCCTCGTAAGAGACCCCAGGGAGCTCCCTCACCCCTTCCGCCATGTGGGGACAACCCAGAAGCGGTTCTCACCAGAGCCCGACCATGGGGCACCTGACCTCGGACCTCAGGCCTCCAGGACTGTGAGAGGTAAAGGTCTGTGTATTTGTCACAGCAGCTGAGCCAGGTAGCCGGCGGGGCAAGTCCCTGGAGGCCGGCCGTCCCCTTCGTGCGGCTGAGAGCAGGCGCAGGGGCTGGGTGAGCAGGACCTTCTGGCGGGCTCCCCTGTCACCTCCTGTGGGGCCGGCACACCCTCTTGTGAGACAGAGGTCCAGGACGTGGGGGACCAGCCACCTTCACAGGCCGGGCTGCTAACCGGCTCCACTCACCACTGCCCCCACCGCCAGGCCCCACTCTGGGTGACCCTGGCGACAACTGTCGGGGCCCAGAGGCCACGTGAGTCCAGGGGTTGACAGGAACCCCGAAGAGCCCCAGCTCACCTCTCCCGACACCCGCTCTTCTCCGTGATGAGTGGGCGCACATGGGGCTCCCGTGCAGTGCAGTGCACCTGCCGGGGGAGACCAGTGACCAGGCCTGGCGTCTGGGACGGGGCCAGATGGAGGGCGTGGAGCTCCCCACCCCGCTGCAATCCTGGCCTCAAATTAATGGACCACTTCAGTTTTCAGACATTCAAACTGTCCTCCCTTCGCTTTTCAGTAACTCAACGATAAACTCGTTTTGCCTTTGGAAGATGCACGTGCATCACACAGGCTGGAAGAAAGCGCTGCAGCAGAGGACACTGCTTACTCTCAGTCTCCTTCTGGACAGGCTGTTTTCTGCACCTGGGCTGCCAAGAACGGACTTGCTCGCCGGGCTCTGTGCCCTCGCGTCCAGCTGTCCGCCCACCCAGCACGGGGAAGGTGGCGGCAAGCACGTGGGAGTAAAACAGCAGGCGCCAGAGGAGCTCTTATCTAACCACGGTGGGAGGCGGGCTGGGGAGGGGCACCAGCAGGTGGTACGGGCAGGGGTGCCCGTCCTTCCAAACCCCACGGTTAGGCTGTGGGAGAGGAGGGATTCCAACTGCCAGTCAAAGCCCCAAGTTCACTTAGGCGAGAAGAAACCTCAGGAGTGTGAATAAACGTGCTCATTTCACGCAGAGCCGTATTTAGAAAACAAGAGAGTCCACGCCAGGATTATACTGCATCAGCTTGTGGATTTTCCTATGGCCGGGTCACTCGCTTGCCCACAGTCATTCATGTCTCCAGCCCCCGCCTGGGGAGACAGGCGAGCACTGAGGGTCCCAGTGTGGCTGGAGGAGGCCTCCAGAGGAGGTGACTCTGAGCAAAGCCTAGAGGAGAGAGACCAGCGGGCCGGGCTGTGAGGGGGCCGCAGGGGAGCCCCTCCCCGCCCTCGAGACACTTGTCCCCACAGGCTGCTCCCCACCTGCTCACCCAGTAATCTTAGCGTCCATTGACGCCTCTGGCCTGAATTATTCCTGCAATGGTTACCAACTGGGGATTTTATAATTCACCTCTTCTCTCTCCAGTCATCCATCTAGAATGGATGTACTGTTAGGAAGAACTTTCTCTTAGTATTTATTTATTCATTCACTTATTTATATCGGTGTGGATTTATGGAATCCCATTTTATTCGCTGGATTTTAATCCATCACCATCCTTATTCATCTTAACGCTGAAAACTGTCCCAGACCTGGCCAGGGAGGCCTTTAGGGTGGCTTGTGTCCCAGGGCAGGTCTCCTCACGCTCTGAGCACGGCCTGCTGTCCAGCACGGACATTCTAAGTTCATCTAGTCCTTTCTCTGCTCCAACTCTAGACGGAGGCCAGAAAGCCTCCTTTTAATGGTGAACCATGTCTGGAAACCGAGATCTGAATGTAAGTTGTAGCTCTCTGCTACTGGTGTGGCCCTTTCAGCAGACAGAGCTAGAACACACACACACACACACACACGTGTGTGTGCATAATGTGAGTTCACACCGATACCTCCAGTTCCAATTCTACACCACAGGATTCAGTACAGAGTGGACTTATTTTTCCTTTAATATTTGATAGAAATTGCTTTAATTCTATCTGGGCCTAGATTTTCTCTGTGGGAAGATTTTAACCACAGATTCAAATGGTCATGTGACTATTCGGGTTTTCTATTTCTTCTTGAGTCAATTTTAGTAAGCTATATTTCTAGGCATTTATTATGTTTTCAAATTTATTGGCATAAATTTGTTCATGACAAAATTCAACCCATCTTTTAAATATCTGCAGCATCTATAATTGTGTTCCTTTTACATTCCTAATACTGTTTGCTATTTTTCCTGGATCAGTCTCACCAGATCTTTGCAGTTTTTTTCATTTTAAAGGAACTCTATTGTATGTTTCCTTTCTATTTCACTAATATCTTCCCCTTTATTATTTCCTTTCTTTGACTCTCCTTTTGTTTATTTTACTCTTCTTTATCAAAACTACAAAACTGAATGCTTAGCTCATTAATTTCAGCCCTCCTTCTTTTACATATAAACACTCAAGGTTATTTATTTCTAAGAATTACATTAACTGCATCCCACGCATTTTGATTTATATTTTCTCAGTTCCATCATGCTTTCTTCTTTGATCTATTTTACTTATAAATATGTTTATTTCCAAATATATCAGGGTTTTCAAGTCTTCTTTTTTATGGATTTCCAGCTTCACTGCCTTAAGGGCTCACCATGCATTCTTCATGGTTTTGTCTTTTGAAATTTATTGTGACTTGCTTTATTGACCAATGTTTTCAATATATTTACAAGTTCCATTAGGTTTGAAAAGATGTGAGTTCTGAGTTTCAGAGTATAGTGTTATGTAATGTCCATGAGATTAACCCTTTTTGCATTGTTCAAATCTTCTATAATCATTACTGATTTTTGTTTATTTGCTCTGTTAAGTACTGAGAGAACTATCTAAAATCTTTCTCTCTGGTGATGAATTTATGTATTTTTCCTTGTAGTTCTATCAATATCTGTTTTATATTTTTGAGATTACGTTATTAAAGGCACACAAATTTAAAATAATTTTATTTGCTTGATGAAATAAAATGTTTAATCATTACTGAATGATTATTAAATTATACTCTCATGATCTCCAGTAGTGTTTTTCATCCACAAATCAATTTTTTGATATTAATATAACTTCATCAGATTTATTTCAGTTTCCAATATATCCTTTTCCATCCTTTTACTTTCACCCTTTCTGTGCCTTTTGTAAACAGATATAGTAAATCACTTTAATAATCCTTACCTGTTAGTTGGCATGTTTAGTCCATTTACATTTATTGTAACTAATGACACATTTGGAATTTTATGCTTTCTATTTGTTCCACTCCTTCACGTTTTTTTTTTCTCCCTTCTTGTCTTTTTTCTTTTGACTGTTTATATTTTCTCATTCCACTTTTCTCTCTCCATTAGTCTGAAAATTATACCTTTCTGTCATCTTGATGGTTATCCTGGAAATTTTATTATGAATTAGTTAATCAACCTCCAAAGTTAATTAATACAAGAACTGTTGAAATCTTTAACTCAAATCTCCTGCTCCAGATTTATATGCTACCACAGCTAGGAATTTATTTCTCTCTTTTTTTGTTCTTACAATACACCATTACTACTATTTTATACATCAGTGTTTGCTTTGATTGATACACATAGTCACCACCTTCTTATCCATTCCTTCTCGAAGCCCTAACCTTCCTTTCCTTCTGCATGAAGTGCATCCTTTAAATTTTTTTTTTTTTTTTTGTGGTACGCGGGCCTCTCACTGTTGTGGCCTCTCCTGTTGCGGAGCACAGGCTCCGGACGCGCAGGCTCAGCGGCCATGGCTCACGGGCCCAGCCACTCCGCGGCATGTGGGATCTTCCCGGACCGGGGCACGAACCCGTGTCCCCTGCATCGGCAGGCAGACTCTCAACCACTGCGCCACCAGGGAAGCCCTCCTTTAAATTTTTTTTTAATACATTCTCATTGGGTTCTCAGCTGCACTTAGTTTTTGATCTCTTTGAGTATTCCTTAATTTCCTGCTGGCTGATCAATATATTTTTAAAGGTTTCAGATATTTTATCTTAAATTTTGGATGTTATCTGCAGGACGGCTGATTGGTGCCTTGCTGCTGAATCTGCTAGAAATGGAAGAGGCTCTATGTCTGGTGGCAGATCTTCTCCACTCGACTCTAAATTCTAGGAGGCGGGGACCATGGCAGCTGTTCTGTTTACTTGCATTATAACTAGTTTTTTGGGGGGTTTTTTTGGGGTTTTTTTTTTTGCGGTACGTGGGCCTCTCACTATTGTGGCCTCTCCCGTTGCGGAGCACGGGCTCCGGACGCGCAGGCTCAGTGGCCATGGCTCACGGGCCTAGCCACTCCGCAGCATGTGGGATCTTCCCAGACTGGGGCACGAACCCGTGTCCCCTGCATCGGCAGGCGGACTCTCAACCACTGCGCCACCAGAGAAGCCCTATAACTGGTTTTTAATGTGAAACTTTTAAGTCTGAATTTGGGCCAAGACCCCACAACTATACATATGCCAACTATACCTGGGTCCCAAAGTGAGATCCCAGGTGACCTCGGCAAGGCAGCAAAGATGTCAGAGGTGAGAGATGTTTGAAGCTGGGAGAAGGGCCTCGTTGGAGGGCTGTGCTGTTCATCCCACACCCCCACCTGCACCAGGAGATGGGTGGGGGCTCTCTCCTCGCCTGATGCCCAGTGAGAGGGGCTTCATGATGGCCCTGTGAGGGCCTGCCACATGCCTCCATGGGCTAGTGGGGCTGGGGTCTCTCTACACTCAAGAAATCCAAAGGAGGTTGGACTGAAAGTGAGAAGTACCACGTCCCCACTAGCAGGTCAAAGATGTACGTTTCCTGGGGAGCAGGTGGGGCCACAATGTCCAAGCACTGGCCTAGGGTGTCTCAGCTCCTCCCAGGAGGGTGCCTGGAGACATGAGAAGAGACTTCAGACCATCTGACACCCAGGCTAAGGAAGGAAACACAAAGAACCAGCTGGAGAGGATGGGTCGCCCATGTTGGCCACCGAGGCAAACAGACCCCCAGGTCCTCAGAAGCCAGGAAAACACCAACACCACCCAGCTTGTGTGCCAGGGCAGTGCCGGTCAGGCAGGAGCTCTCCCAATCTTCAGCTCTTCTTCCCGCTGCTACTCCCACCTGGAAGGGCCGGAAACCATGGCTCCCAGTGAGGCAGGACCTCAGGGAGGAGCAGCTGACCTCACCGCCAGGCACCCCCACCCCTGCCTGCTGCAGCCTCTGT